TGTGGTTGGAGCTGTGGGAGAGGCTCTGTACAGCAAGGTAAAGTTCTTGAAGTTCAACTCCAGAGCAGATTATTCTGCTTGAGCTCCACTCTTGCTGTTTTTCCTTCCACAGGATGGAGCTGCCACCTCAAGGAGCCTTTTCTGTGTCGTGTCCTTCAGGTGACAGTGCAGGGACACTGCATGGTGTCACATCTCCAGTCAGTCAGTGTTCACCGCTGCCTTTGAACCAGGATGGTTCAGTAATAATAAGTAGTAATCAATTCCACTACCTAATTACACACCTATTTGCTTTCTCCCATTGATCCACTTAATCAGGAGTAGATTAATTGCTTCCTCGAAATTCCTAGTTACTAATTTCATATTGTGTGAAGTAGGAGTAGTGGCTTTAGAAACAGGAATACTGGCCTTACCTTTTCTACAATGCTGACTTTTCGTACTGCAGTCTAATTTATAAATTACCCTTTAAAAATACTTTAAACATAGATTTTCTTTTTTCTTGTCTCACACCTTGTGTTCTTAACACCTATTTGCACTATAAGGAAGAAAAAGGGAAATTCACACTGGATGCACTTTATCCTTCACCTGCTACTTGGAAATCAAAATTCCAGTCCATTAAAGAGCTAAGAAACCATTAGGTATTAGACCTTTGTTGACCTTTAATAAACCAGACTGGTTTATTAAAATTGAGTCTGTTTACTTTATGGTGATATTTCTGAAGTTGTCACTAAAAAGAAATATTGAAAATCAAAACAGGGGAATCTGTTCTTATATTCAAGATAATTTTTACTTCTTGGGACACTGGTCACTCCTATGGAAACTCTGGCCCATTTGTCTCAGTATAACAAAACTGATTTAGCAAATGTTTTGCAATATGAAAGTGGAGAGGCATAAGTAAAACAATGTTATAAATTGTTTTTAAAATTGAGACAGTGTATCATATTTAAAATTACTGATAGGCAACTCAGCAACAAAACCATTTCTGCTTTTAGAGCAGGCTAAAAATAGTTGAAATGTCAGAGCCCGGCTCCATTAATGGATCACAGCCTTCCTCGGAGTCCTGCTCTCCAAGTGCAGTCACGCTGCAAATTCCTCTGCCCATTTCAGCTGGCCAGGAAGGTCTTGTGTGTCTCTAACCCACAGTGATATGCTGTATACTGCATTTCTCTTCCTGATAGTAGAAGGAAAGATTACATAAAACATGGGAATGAGAGATTTCTTTCCTTGTAATATGAAATTGAGAATGTATTGGAAAAAATAGAGCTTTTTATTGGTCTGTAATTGCTGAGCACCTGCCCTTGCTGTGAGATCTTCCTTACAAGAATGCTGATTTAGGGAGGTACATTTGGAAAGAGCTGTTTGTTGCAAACAGCAACACTCTGATGCCAGAAGCAGAACTTTTTACCTAATTGTATTTTTTATGTTAGCTCTGCTAGTTTACTATGATGTTTTTAGCACAGAGATTATCTAGTGGAATCTTAGTTTAGCACAGAAATTTCTCCTAAAATTACTTTCTGGGCTTCACCAAAGAGTCAAACTAGAAATAGAACAAGCCTGAGAGGTGTCTTTTAACGATTTGCTGGTGAGAATTAGTTGTAGTTATTTATTAATTTATTCTGCAAATAAATCCTGGAAATAACCAAGTGTTGGTTGTGTGTTTTAATTGTAGTTGCTGCGGGCTGGTGCTGCTGGCTGGCTGACTCACCAGGTGGAGCTGCAGGCTCGTTCTTCCTCCCTGGAGAGCCATCCCTGGCTCCTGAGCTGTGCTGGGGTGAGAATCCAGGGAATTCTTACCACTGGAAAAGACAAGCCACCAGAATGACTTAGCAGTGTCTGGTGGAAAATAATAAAAATCAAAATTTTGTCTTCTTGCGGGAGATGACACCACAGCATTCAGACTTTATTCACTCTGTGACGTTGCAGAATTCTTCTGAGGCAGCTGGAAGTTGATTGGGAAAGGCTGCAGCATGGGAAAAAAACCCCAGAAAACAAACAGCTGTTTGAGAAGCAAAGTTCACGTCAAAACAGAATAATGATCATGTCAAATTTCAGAATTTTGATCATGTCAAAACCAGAATTCCTGGGCAGCGTGTGAAGTTTGTGCACAGAGAAGCTGGAATTGCACCTGCACAGCTTTGGGCTGGGATGCTGAGCACAACCCTCAGGGCCAGGGGTGGGCAGGGGAGCACCTGGAGATGGAATGACTGAGGAATTTCAGGAGATGGAATGACTGAGGAACTTCAGATGGAATGACTGAGGAATTTCAGGAAATGGAATGACTGAGGAATTTCAGGAGCTGAAATGACTGAGACAATTTCAGGAGCTGAAATGACTGAGGAATTTCAGATGGAATGACTGAGGAATTTCAGGAGCTGAAATGACTGAGGAATTTCAGGAGATGGAATGACTGGGGAATTTCAGATGGAATGACTGAGGAATTTCAGGAGATGAAATGACTGAGGAATTTCAGATGGAATGACTGAGGAATTTCAGGAGATGGAATGACTGAGGAATTTCAGGAGATTGAATGACTGAGGAATTTCAGATGGAATGACTGAGGAATTTCAG